TTTTTTTTAGGGGGGATGGTCACGCCGCAATCCCTTCTCCTCCATTCTCCTCTCGGGATCTTGGGCACGCACGCACACACGCCCAACATGAGTTTTAAGCCACCGGGTCCGGGACATGAACCGCGGTCGACTACGTGGGAGTCCAGCGACATAGCCATTATGCTAACTGCTGGTTCCCTACCACATGGAATTTTTAATCTTCTTTTGCTTGATGAAGGTACTTTTTATTTAAATTTATTTACATTCATTCACTATACATCATTACAGCATACAAAATGAGATTTTCCATTGAGAATACACTATATATTGGCTCGATCAAGCATATCAACATATGTGTTATCATCAACAAATAATGTTCCATTTCTTGTTTCCTGGATATTTTGCTTTTTTTTCCCCCCATCCTTGATTCCCTATCTCTCACCCTCTGCCATGTCCCACACTCTTCCCACACTGTCTCTGATATCCACAGTTGCTTTGTATACCTTGGTATTTTTTTAAATGAGCAACTCCTGGGACCAGCAGATGGCATAATGGTTACGTTGCTGGACTCCCACTTGGTCGAGTGCAGTTTCTGTCCTGAACCCAGTGGCTTGAAGCACATGCTGGGTGCACGTTGATGTGGGCCCAGAATTCTGGGAGGCAACTGGAGGAGAAGGCATTGCGACGTGGCTATCCCCGTGGAAGGGCGATTTCTCACTTTCTGTCTCTTTCTCTCTCTCCACAAGTGTACATACCCTATAACAAAAATCCTGTAAGATTTTTTTAAGAATTCCTAGTTGAATAATCTGCATCTTCATAGGTACAGTATGGTCTTCTGAGCATACATATTGCATGTGTCTAAGTCAAGGGCTGGATGCACTCACTGTCTCCGACATTGAGCATGATGTAATGCGCATATTTGGTAATGGTCCTACCTTTCCTCAAGCACATATTGATTTGCCAGTGACACCCCCCCCCTGTGGTACAGCTCCATAGCCCATTGCACTTAGTTACATGCATCCTTGTGTCTTTACTTTCTCCCAAATCCCCCCACTTGAAGCTTCTGGTGTCCCCCACTGTCCTCTATCTCCGTGCCATTGAGTCTGTGTCCACCATAAAGTGGGGACACTCGGTATCTCTTTTTTTTTTTTTTTGGAGAGGTTTTCGCTATAGGGCGCGTGCGCTCACCAGACAGAGAGAGACAGAGACAGAGAGACAGAAAGCGAGAAATCACCCCCCAGGGAGGATGGTCACACCGCAATCCCTTCTCCTCCATTCTCCTCTCGGGATCTTGGGCACACACGCCTGGCGTGAGTTTTAAGCCACCGGGTCCGGGACGCAAACCGCGGTCGACTACGTGGGAGACCAGCGACATAGCCATTACGCTAACTGCTGGTTCCCGACATTCGGTATTTCTTACGCAGAGCCATACGGTGTTAGTCTTTCCTAGCTTTACTCCAGGGTTGCCCACTTCGTGTCAAATGGCAGGATTTTGTTCTTTGCGGCTGAGTCATAGTGCACTGTGTATCTGTGCCACATTCATCAGTTCTGGGGCACTTAGGCTGATTCCATGCCTTAGCTGTCATGAGTACACCATTAGAAACATGGGTATGCAAATGTCTCCCCAACCGAGTGACTTCTGTCCTTGGTGAGAATTCTTACCGTAGGATTAGTGCATCCTACAGTCGCTCTATTTTCCGATTTCTGAGGAACCTTCACACTGTTTTCCACGACGGATGTGGTTATTTACATGCCACCAACCGTGCTTAAGGGCTATCTTTCCTCTGGGACCTCACCAGCACTGGGTTTGTTCGATTCTGACCGGGGCTAAGTGCTACTCCATTGTGATTTTGATCTGCATCTCACTATGACGAGAGGTGATGAACGCTCACATGCTTTCTACCATTCTAGGTCTTCCTTTGATAGCTGCCCATCCAGGTAGATTGTCCTGTTTTAAAACGAATTATTTTGAGGGTTTGTTTTGTATGAACTGTTTGAGTTCCTTATATATTCCGTTTATCAGTTCCTTATCTGAGCAATAATATGCACATACTTCTCTCCCAGTGTGTGGGTTATCTCTTTGCTTGTTGTTGCCTTTGCTGTTCAGAAGAATTTTTAATTTTATTTTTAGGTTTTTGCCATAGGGTGTGTGCACATGTCAGAGAGAGATAGGGGAAGAGAGATCACCTCCCGGGAGTGATGACCGCACCACAGCCCTGTCTCCATCCTCCTCTCAGGAGAAATGTCTTTCATGCATATTTTGAGAATATTCATCATGAAAGCTATTGTAATGTATCAAATTCTTTTTCTGCATCAACTGATAAAATTGTGTGATTTTTGCATTTCCTTCTATTAATGTGACGTACATTTATTGTTTTGCATATGCCAAACCATCCTTGTATCCTGGGATAAATCCTACTTGGTCACGGTGTGTAATCTTTTTAATGTGCTGTAGGTTTCATTTGCCAGTATTTCTTTTTTCCAAATTTGTCAGATGGTGCATGCACTCACCGGAGAGACAGAGAGAGAGAGAAAATGAGAAAGCACCACATGGGGGATAGCCATGCCACAATCCCTTCTCTCACACTTGTCCAGTGTGTTTTCAAATCACACTGGATTTGGGACTCCAACTGTACAGTTGGCTATGTGGGATCCAGCCACCTTAACCACCATGCCACCAGCTGGCCCTTGGTTTGTTAGTATCTTTTCTTTTATTTATTTATTTTTCTAAATTTATTTTTTGTTAAACTTCCTTCCACTATTTATTAAGCTCTTAATTGACTTGAGTTTGTATAATCTTTCATTGGGACTTGCCATATTTCAATACATATTTCATGTCATCTAACATATTTTAATGCCCAATTTTATTTTTTATTTTTAAAATGTATATATCCAATCACTGTACACCACCACAGCTTATAAAATTAATTTTCCAGCATGAAGGCACTGCACACCAGTCCAGTTAAAGATATCATAATAGAAATGGAGGATTGTCTGTTGATAATAATGCTAGTATTTTTTTTCATTAATTTTTTTCTTTCATGAGCAAGAGAAGGGGAGTGGGGGAGAGACGGAAAGGCCGAAGCCCTGGTAGGGTCCTGATTCTGTTGTAGGATGGCGTCTGTGATGACACCCAGGTTCTTGGTTTTCGAACATGCCAATAGCGAAAGGGAAAGATAGTTTATTAAGAATAAAAGTGCACCACTGAGAGGTGCGAGCGTGCCTGAGCAGACAGAGCAAGAGTGGCTCGGAGGCCCCCATTCACTCTGCAAGGTTGGTAATCTTTTCTAGGCCATGTCTGTTGATCATTGGCTGGGCCAGATTATTTTCATCTCAGTGGCTCTAACAAATGTGGCTGGGCCCACTGATTTCTCATTGGCTAAGTCAAATGTGGCTGGGCCCACTGATTTAATGTGGCTGGGCCCACTGATTTCGCATTGGCTAAGTCAAATGTGGCTGGGCCCACTGATTTATCTCACCGGCTTTATCGAATGTGGCTTAATAAGCTAGACATCCCCCACTCATCTCTTGCCTACATTACCTTGGATGGGGAAATTTCTGCCCTGATTGGGTTATTCTATGTAGCCACATGGGCAAAAGCTCCATCCCCCTTACTCACTTCCACTTGCTAGCTTTATCCTGCCTCATATTTCCCTGAGAGGCATGATCGCCATAAATCTTTCTGGGGAGTAGAAGGTGGATGGTATTCCTTCTGTAACTGCTTCACACTGGAAAGGGACACTGGCCTACCTCCTGGGGATCACGGAACTCTCTCCATATCTGATCTGGGTGGGAGGGAGCCGGGAGCTGGTTGTGGAGAGCTCCCAGGTGTGTCATTGGGAAGGCCACTGTTGGTGCTGGATGACTCACAGTAGGATTTAGTGGAAGTCTCAAAGTGTTGATATCTGTTTTATGGTCATTTGCAGTTTTACATCTTCTAAGGAAAAAGAGAGAAACTTGGTTAGATTTGAGAGACAGGGCCCAAAAATGAGGGTGAGAATTAGCATTAATAGGGGTCTCAAGAGGGGCAACAGCAAGTGAACCAGTTCCAGGTTTTTAACCAGAGTTCCCACGAATCCAGCAAACGCTGTCAGATGTGTGAAGCTGTGTGATGACCGGGGGGCTGGTCTAAGGCACCTAGTGGGCATCCTTGGGTTGTATCCCGAGTTAACACAGATGCACGTGGGAAATAGTCACCACTGTAGGTCCCAAACCGGGGCTCTCAGACCTCAGTGGCTAAGTTCTGCTGGAAGGATCCGAGAAGGTTGCTAGTATTTTGATGAGGATCTTTGCATCTATATTCATCAGGGACATTGGTCTATAGTTTTATTTTTTTGTTGTCTCCTTGTCTGCTTTTAGTATCAAGGTTATAGAGGCTTCATAAAATGAGTTAGGAGGGCTCCTTCCATTTGGAGCATGTGAAATAGTTTAGTTTGAGGAGAGTTGGTGATTACGCTTTAAAATTCTTGTAGAATTCAGCAGAGAAGCCATCTTGATCTGGGCTTTTTATTGGGAAATGATTACCGATTTCAATCTTATCACCTTTGTTTTTAATCGTATTGGTTGGTTCAGGTTTTCCATTTCTTCCTGAGTCAATCTAGGTATATTATATGTGTCCAGACATTTGTCTAACTCATCTAGATGTTTCAGTTTGGTTTCACACTCCTTAATGATCTTTTGTATTCCTGTGATGTCTGTTGTAATTTTTCCTTTTTCATTTCTAATATTATATCTGGGTCTTCTATTTTTCTTAGTCTAGCTAGTGGTTCATTGGTTTTAATCTTTTCAAAAAAAAAAAGCTATTTCAGTTTTTTTTTTTGCATTGCTCTTTTGTTCTCTATTTCATTTGTTTCTGCTCTGATTTCTACTATTTCTTTTCTTCCATTACTTTTGGGTTTCATTTGTTCTTGATTTTCCAATTCCTTGAGATGCTTTGTTAGATTATTTCCAATCTCGGGGACCAGCAGTTGGCTATGTCACTGGCCTCCCATGTAGTTGATCGCAGTTCGAGTCTCAGATCCGGTGGCTTAAACTCACGCCGGATGCATGTGCGTGCGTGCCCAAGATCCCAAGAGGAGAAGGGATTGTAGTGTGGCCATCCCCCCTGGGGGGGGGGATTTTTCACTTTCTCTCGCTCTCTGTCTCTGTCTTTCTGGCAAGCACATGCACCCTATAGCAAAAAAATATCTCAAAAAAAATTAGCTGACATCTTTCTGTGTGTGTGTGTGTGTGTGAGAGCACTAATTGCTATAAACTTCCCTCAGTTCTGTTTTTGCTGTATCCCAAAGATTTGGGGATGTCCTATTTTTATTGTTGCCACCATTTTTGTTTCAAAAAATTTTATTTTTCACTCTTGATTTTTTAGTAGTTTTGAAATAGCTCAGGAGCATGTTGATTAGTTTCTATGTATTTGTGTGTTTCCAAAAGCTTTTTAATTCCATTGTAATCAGGAAAAATGCTAGATATTCCTTCTATTCTTTTACATCTGTAGAGGCGTGTTTCCTGCCCTTTTATATGGCTGACTTTAAAGAACGATCCATGTGCCGCTGAGAGAAGCGTGCATTCTGCATTTGCCGGGTGAAGTGTTCTAGGAAGGTCTTGGGACCCGTCGGTGCACGGCCTTGTTCCGCGCTAGATCTCTGATGTTCTTCCAGAGGGCCTACTCGGCTGCGCACACTGGGCCTTGAAATCCACCGTTCGCGTTAGAGACTCTCTCTTTCTTCAATCTAGCAGTCTTTGTTTTATGTATGTGGGTTTGTACCATTTAGAGTTTTAGATCTTCTTGGCGAGTTAATCCCTTTAATATTATGTAATTACCTTGTCTCTTTTTACAGATTTTAGCTTGAAGTCTTTTTTTTCTGATGTTAAGATTGCTACATTCGTTTCCACTTGCATGGAATGACTTTCTCCAACCTTTCATTCTCAATCTGTGTGTATCTTTGCCAAAGAAGTGTGTTTCTTGTAAGCAGCATGTAGAAGAATCCTGGTTTGCTTTTTTGTTTTGTTTTGGTTTTTATTTAGGCAGTCTCTGTGACTCACCCCCCATCCATCCTTCCTCTCACGGGATAAACAAACATTAAAAAAAGAGAAAATTACAGAATTACAATCATATCTACTGCATGTCTCAATTGATGAGAAATGCCGCTTGAGGTTTCGTTGAGGCAATTTTATATCCTTGTTTTATTGAATCATCTCCACTCCTTCAAAAACTAAAAATCTTATAACAAAAGGACAAAAAGGAGACTTAAGCCCAAACCAATTCATGACCTTGGGAGACAGGTACAGATGCAGTCCGAGGACAGGGACACCTAGACACGGGTCAGGACCTCCTGCCAGCTGTACTCTGAGCCCGCTCCCTGGTGACGCTGAGGCAGGTCAGGCTCACCACCACCACCTGTCCTCGGGGTCATTAAAATCCCAGGTACACTTCATTTTCAGAAAGGACTCCTTCTGCGACGTCAGCACCTCCCCCTTCACTACACTGTGCAAGTCTTTTTGAAGCCTACAAAGAAAGGAAGATGCAGACAGATGAAGAGGCACCACAGGGATGCACAGACCCGGGGTGGGGATGAAGCGCTGCAGGTGAGCCACCCCAGCCTCACCTAGGCCCAGGTCACAGGGCCGACCAGCGAGGGTCCCAGCCAAGTCTTGAAAAACTTGCACGGTGCATGTGAGTGCATCCCCCAAGTCCTGATCAGGTGGACAGGAGGAGGAGAGACACAGACGAGAACGTGACAGGATGACACCCAGCAACAGAGACAGAGCTCATGGCGTGAGAACCCTCCGGGGTGCTCTCTGTCTGTGTCTCCCTGCCTGCCTGCCTCCTCCCCGCTGCGCCCACTGCTCGGCACTCTGCTCTCTCCCACCGCGTTTTCTCGGTGACTACTGCCGAGTCTCCCCGTCTGCATCTAGCTCTCTCGTGTCTCTTTCTGTCTCTGTCACTCTGTCTCTTTCTATATCTCTGCCTCTTCTCCTGTCTCTGAGTGTCACTGTCTCTGAATCTCAGAGTACAAGCTCTCTCTGACCCTATCTGGCACTCCGTCTCTGTCTCTCTACCTTGGAGTCCTGTCTCATAGTCTCTGTCTCAGAATCTTCCTCTGTTAATTTATCTCTGTCTCTGAGTCTGAGTCTCTCTGTTCCTCTTTGCCGCTGTCTCCATCTGTCTCTGTGTCTGTGTCTGTCTCTGAGTCTGTCCATCTGCCACTGTCTCCATCTGTCTGTTTCTGTGTGTCTGTCTCTGAGTCTCTGTCTCTGAGTTTGTCCGTCTGCCTCTGTCTCCATCTGTCTCTGTCTCTGAATCTCTGAGTCTGTCTCTGAGTTTGTCCGTCTCCCTCTGTCTCCATCTGTCGCTGTTTCTGTGTCTGTCTCTGAGTCTGTCTCTGAGTTTGTCCGTCTGCCACTGTCTCCATCTGTCTCTGTCTCTGAGTCTCTGTCTCTGAGTTTGTCCGTCTGCCACTGTCTCCATCTGTCTGTTTCTGTGTCTGTCTCTGAGTCTCTGTCTCCATCTGTCTCTGTGTCTGAGTATGTCGACCTCTGTCTGCCTCTGTTCTCAGTCTATCTTAGAGACTATGTCTTGAGGTCTGTCTGTATCTCTCTGTCTCTGACTGTCTCTGAGTCTCTCTGTGACTGCATCTGTCTGTATCTGTATGTCTCTGAGTCTGTATCTCTCAGTCTCTGACTGTCTCTGGGTCTCTGTCTGTATCTCTGTCTCTGCATCCCTCTGTTGCCAAGTCTCTCACTGTCTTTGTTGAGGAGTCTCTGAGTATGTCTCTCTGTGTTATGTTTCTGCCTCAGTCTGTCAGTCTCTCTGTCCTTCTGTGTCTATCAGTCTGTTAGTCTGTCCCTCCTTGTCCCTCTACCTGCCTTTGTGTGTTTCTGTGTATGTCTGTGTCTGCCTCCCCGTCACTCTGTGCCTATCTCTGAGTTTGTGTCTGTTTCTCTGCATCTGTCTGTCTGTCTGTCTCTTTTCTGTCTCTCTCAGGCAAGCACATGTGGGCTCTTGCAATAAATGAAACACAGTAAGGAAGTAGGTGCCCAAACAAAACCTAATCCTAAAAAAAAAAAAAAGTAAAAAATAATGCCGGGACCAGCAGTTAGCATAATGGCTATGTCGCTGGACTCCCATGTAGTCGACTGCAGTTCGAGTCCCAGACCCGGTGGCTTAAACTCACACCAGGCATGTGCACATGCGTGTCCAAGACCCACGATCCTGAGACCAGAATGGAGGAGGAGGTATTGCGGCGTGACCATCCCCCATGGAGGATGATTTCTCGCTTTCTGTCTCTCTGTCTCTCTCTGTCTTTCTGGCAAGCGCACATCCTCTATAGGGAAAACCCAAAAAAAAAAAAAAAAAAAAAAGCCAAAGTGTGTACGTGCCCGCTCAGCAGGGAGAGGGAAGTGAGGAAGCGCCCGCTGGGCGTGGCCAGACTGCAACCATTTCCCTCCCATCTCTCCAGCCCATCAGGATCGTGGGCACACACGTGCCTGGGAGGGTTTTCAAGCTATGGAGGCCAAGATTCAAACTGTGTGGACAGCCGTGTGGGATCCAACTCCCTAAACTACCAGGCCACGGGACTAACTCAAAAGTTTAAGTTTAAAGAACATTTAAAGTGTAATTTAAAAAAAAAATTATACACAAACACATACAATGGGATCCAACTCCCTAAACTACCAGGCCACGGGACTAACTCAAAAGTTTAAGTTTAAAGAACATTTAAAATGTAGTTTAAAAAAAAATTATACACAAACACACACAATGCATGATTTCAGGGCCAGCAGGTAGTGTAGTTGTTGGGCACTGGACTCCCATGTGGCCAACCCTGGTTCAAGTCCCGGACCTGGCAGCTTGCTTTCTCTCTCTCTCCCTCTCTCTCTCTCCCGTGAATTAAAAAATAATAATGAGGGACTGGAAAGTGGTGTGGTGGTTAAGGTACTGGACTCCCACATAGCTGACTGTGGTTCAAGTCTTTGACCTTGCTTTCTCACTCTCCCTCTCTCTGTCTCTCTCTGGTCAAATTAAAATAATAAATAAAACTAAATAAAATAATTCTTTAAAAATAACGATAATAAATAAAATTAAATAATTCTTTTAAAAGATGCTTTAATTTCAGGACCTGCAGTTAGCGTTAATGGCTATGTCGCTGGACTCCCATGTAGTCGACTGCAGTTCGAGTCCCGGACCTGGTGGCTTAAACTCAGGCCGGGCACATGTGCGTGTGTGCCCAAGATCCCTAGAGGAGAATGGAGGAGAAGGGATTGCGGCATGGCCATCCCCCCTGGGGGGTGATTTCTCGCTTTCTATCTCTCTGTCTGTCTGGCAAGTGCACGCGCCCTATAGCAAAAACCTCTCCAAAAAAGATGCACTAATTTCTCTAAGAAAGAATCCTCTTGCATCTTTTGTTCCGTGTGATTCAATTAAAATTGTTTAAGACAAAAAAAAATGAATGCAGTCCCTGGTCCTCCGTCGCAGGAAGCACATTTCCGATGCCCGATTACCAAAGGCTGTGTGCAGCCCTGCAGCTGGAGGGCGAGGCGAGTATCGGTCATTCACGTCTTTCCAAGAGCCCTACAGACCACGCCTGCCCCAGGACACTGAACTCAGGTTACCCTGATGCTTGCTGTGGAAGGCCGGCCACCCAGGCCTGCCGGGAACGTCAGCGTAGTTACCCGAGTTTCCGCAGCTTGCACGTCGGTTTTCTCAAGGCCCTGCACAACACCTTGACCCCATCGACCTCCAGGTCGTTGCCAAGAAGGTTCAGACTAACCAGGCTTTGGCTGCTGCTGAGAACTGAGGAGAGAGGCTGGCAGCAGGCAGGGGTCAGACTGCATTTCTCCAACCTAGGGACGGTGGGAGGAGGCAAGAAAGAGTCCTCTGAGACCGAAAAACCAGAACATAGCACACGAGATCAGGGGAAACTCCTGCCGAAACAGGCTGCTCAACACCTCTCCAAATACTTACACCTGACTTTATACCAGAGCCGGGCAACCTCCCCTAAACCCTGTGTGCCAGACGAGGAAACCGAAGTTCAACCTGGTAGAATAAAGTCCTCTTAGAAAGAAGACGGAGGTCATAAGTCTTTCTCATAAGAAAGTCAGTTATCTTGTCTAAGTTGTTTCATTATTTTTATCTCTTGAGTAAACACGGACTTCCTAGTTTAGGATACATTTACGGCGAACTATCTTACATTTGGTACTGCAAATAGCACTACCTATTCCTGTCTTTAAAGGCGGGGAGGGGGGCAGGAGGCGATGCGGTGGTTAAGCTCCTGGACTACCACATAGTTGACCAAGGTCAAGTCCCGGATGGGGCAGCTTGAAAATCACACCAGGTGCTCGTGCATGAGTGCCCAAAGTCCCAAGAGGAGAATGGAGGACAAGGGACTGTGGAGTGGCCATCCCCTCCTGGGGGTGATTTCTCACTTTCTCTCTCTGTCTCTCTCTAGTGAGCACATGCAAAAACCCTAAAATTAAAAAAAATGATACAGGGGAACCAGCAGTTAGCGTAATGGCTATGTCGCTGGATTCCCACGTAGTCGACCGCGGTTCGCGTCCCGGGCCCGGTGGCTTAGAACTCACGCCGGGCGCGTGTGCGTGCGTGCCCAAGATCCCGAGAGGAGAATGGAGGAGAAGGGAT